ATAATATTCGAACGTTGTTAGATATTACTGCTGAGCAGCCAGACAAAAGAGTTGCTCCTTCAGAAACACTTCACTGCCGTTCTATCATCTGTCTGGAAGATTACATCTCGTATGGATCACCACAAGAACCTTGCATCATCACGAAATGGACTCTATTTTGGTGGGAGATTTTTCAATTCTGTCAACCATATTTCTCGTACTTCTATTAAGGAACATGTTGAGAGATTGAAATTCACTAATTCAGGACAGAGTAGGCTATTAGCAGCTACACTTCACGATGTTGGTAATCGACAACAGGAAGACAGAGCATCCTCTTTTGTTCACAGGATGCGACAACCAGATGACAGAGCTTCTTCCAGTCGCAGGGAAGATGTATCGACAAAGGCAGAACGTTGGGAGATGACTCTGGAATTCCCTAAAGAAACGGACGACACGTTGGATCCGCTGCCTTCGGTTCTAAACTTATCAATTGTTGGTTCAGGCCCTCTCCCATCTGTTAGTCAGGATGAGCAGGAAGATTGTCATCTCAGAACTTCATATGATGTGGCTGAGAATCGTTTCAGGTAAGTTTTACGCATCCCACAAAAGCATGGTTAGTTACATGCATCTGTTCTTTTCTCGTGAGATGGAAGTAACTGTTTATTCCTTATCTGGTCAAGTTGCATATGGTAAAACCAATAGGATTCGACTTTTCTTCGCAAAATGAACGACTTTTCTGGAATCTCTGGAACTTGCTTGCATTCATGATTTAGAAAGGAGTCTAAAAACTGTTGTCATCTTCCTTAAAACTGTTGTGATCTGCATCCAATATTGGCAATTAAGAAATTGAAAGTCATGTCATTCTGCGTCCTTTGACATATAAGCAAAAGGCGAGGTCAGTATGGTTTGCTATTAGTTGTTTCAATCATTTCTTTGTTGGATCTCGGTTTTTCCTCAGATTAGCATGTTGTTTCCTCATCATTTGGCTGAGTTGAATTGATTGGCTTTATTTTTTATCTTTTTTTCAGCCTCTGTCTTTGAAGCGTCTTACCGAGGGTATCAAAGGAACTAAGAGATCAGATGACAGTGAAATATTTAAGCTGTTCACAAATGTTTTGACTTTGTGTCCTCCGAATGTAAATGTTAACTCTTTAGTGTGATTTGTTTCCTTTATAAGAATGTCCTTTTGTGAATTCATTCATTACATCTCTGGTTAGTCTTTTAGTAGTGTTCATTACTACGTTCAGTTGCAGTTTTTGGTCCTTTACTCCTTTTTAATAATGCTATAACTTCTTCATTTATTGACAGAAACTGCCACCATATTTTGTTGCTATCCTATAGAGTGATTTAATTACCTTGTATCTTGTTGTTATCTTCTTGTAATTAAATGAATTGTTCATAAAGGCTCATCTTTCGAATACCAGACTCTTTCTGTTGTTTGGTTATCATGTTAGTGTGTTTGTCTTCCATTTCTAACCTTTCCTGCAAGCTTGTGTTGACGACAGTCTCGGATGGGTTTCATCTGTATTTCCCACAAAAAAAAAAAAAAAAAATCAATCTTGTATTTCTAACCTTTCCTGCAAGCTTGTATTGATTTTAAAAAAATAAAAAATAAAAAAATCAATCTATATAATATATTAAGAGTTAATGTCAATTTTGACCCTCGTACTATGCTTCTTGTTCCATTTAGACCCTAAAATTTTAAAATGTTAGAAAGTGTTGCATAAATTATGCTCCTTATCCCATGTTTTATCCCTTTGAATCAACCATTACCATATTACACTCAAATGATTAGTTAATAAAAGTATTTTAAATGAATCACACCTAAATAAATTCAAAAATTAAAAAAGAAAATAAATATATATTTTTTCTACACAAGCTTCTTGGCTAATAAAATAAATCAAATTTATTTAAATTCACCTAGTAATTTGCCTAAAATATCTTTTTAAATCAGTGATACGGGTTCACACAATTAAACAAGTATTTTTAAATACCAAAAATAATTATATATATTTACATTTCATATCATGTCTATTTTGGTCATTTTACATACCCACAGCAATTCCACCTCAAAATTTACCAAACGTTATTTACTGATTTTGAAACCAGCCCAGCTACTATAATTACAATTTACCAAACACTCAGCTGCTTTTTGAAACAACTACTTTTTCTTTCAGCACAGCTAAAAGCATTTTTTTTAAAATCCACAGCATTACTAAACTAAGCCATTGTCTCCTTTCCTTTATAGTGTTCAAGATCTCTTTTGCGGGCCACTGTGGATATTACCACAATATGCTACCACTGATAACAAAATAATCACCGAGATACTTTAGTAACATGGTGGGATACTTTAAGTGCGACAGATTCAACGGTCGTGTTTAGAACTGATCCCGTTTTTATTTTTTATGTTTTTCAAGAAAGAAAAATGAAAACATTTTCAAAATAGCGTTTGGCGCAATAAAGACAAAAAATATAAATGAAAACGATTTTTTAGTTTAGTGTAAAATGAGAGAGAAATGAAAAATAACTTTTAGTTGTTTTTCATTTTTTGTTTTCGTTTTCTCCTCTCTCGAGCAGTGAGAAAGAGAGAGATATTAATGAGTTTTTTTATACTGAAAATAATCTCTTGATAAAATTACCAAACGCATTTTTAAAAATGATTTATGTCTGAGATTGAAAACGTTTTCATTTTCATATAAAAAACAAAATCATTTTAGAACGAGTTCCAAACGCGCCCAACACGCTTTAGTAGGTTACTGTTAAGGCCACAATAGGTTACAATTGACACAGGTCTCCAGTGAGTACTAATACGTAGTCAGAAGTGTACGACTTCTTTTGAAAATAAGAAGAGTTCCCAACCCTTCTCGAAGGTGATGACGAAATCACATTAATTATCAAATTAACTTAGGTATTGTTCATTTCACCGATTCGAGTTTTCAGTTTTAGGTTTCTACAGAAAAAAGCTCTCAGAAAATGTCACATCTAACTTTTTTTGCTACAGTAAAAAGCTCTCAGAAAATGTCACATATCAGCTCGAATTGAAAACTCGAATCCGCGAAGTGAACGAGACCTTACAAGTTCGGGTCATCTCCAAACGTAACAACATTTCTTGGAGCTTATTATATGGTTTGTCAGTTTCCGGATAAGTGAATAATATATAATACCTTTAGCTCCTGTTGAGAGAGGAAGCTCGACAGTCCTTGCTGAACACATGCCGAGCACTGCTCGGGTAGTGCAGCCGAACAAGGCCCCTGTGAGTTCCCAGGCATGCTTAGGATCCCATTATTTACGCCCCCGTGTCCCTCCCATACGGCGACGTGGGGTCGTAAAAAAAGAAAGAGGGGGATGGGGTTTCTCTCGCCTTTGGCATAGCGGGCCCCCAGCGGGAGGCCCGCATGACAGGCTATTAGCTCAGTGGAGCTTCTCTCCGACACAAAATCTGATGTTCGGCACTCTTACTACTCTGACAATGGACCAAGCATAATGCCTACATGCCTGTTGCCGAGCATGGTTGCTCGGCGACCCCACACCATAATAAACAACATATACAGCAAATTGATCCCCATCATTGAGTGAATGTTGCACGCTCCCATCGGTGTGCGACACTTGTCACAACGTCAGACGGAGCCGTACACACGTACTTGTGGGCCCCCGGTGGGTCATGGACAAAACTCAAGTCCACCAAGGGAGCTATAAATACCTTATGATCATTTATTGAGATAAGGACAATTCTCTTACCCTACTCATGTCACAACTCACAACATTTTTTGCTCCCAATTAGTTCAGCTGACTTGAAGGTCGGAATGTGTTTGGCAGGCACCACACTGGTGTCCCCTCACTTTGAGGCTGCATCTCTTACTCCAGTGCAGGACGCTAGTCCCTGAACCCGAGCACGTGACGGAGCACCAACCAAACTAAAACCAAAACAGGAGTCTAAACTCCGTGCTTCTCAATATGTAGGTGTTGAGTCAGTTTAGACATCTTACTTTCTTGGGATTCATTTATTTCATATTGTAACTTTTTTCTATTTAGTCGTCCTTTTTTTTTTTTTTTAGGAGTTATTCGTCCTAAGTTACTACACAAAAGAATTATTACAAATTATATAGTACTTAAGAAAGAAAGAGTATAAAATCTAATTTCCCAAAATCTTCGTATCAAATATGAATCTCTTAAAGTACTTAACATCCATGACTAGACAAAAAGAACGAAAAGCAAGAGATCCATGAAAGGAAGTCACAGAAAGCAAGATTTTACCACATCAACAATGTCTTTTACCAAGGGAACAGGATTGTGGTGCCTTCATGTTTAGCGGGGGCAAAAAGTTGTTGCACTTAAAAGTGCCAATATAATCATTCGTTCGTTTCACTCGTTTAAATTGATAATTTGAATAGAAAAATGAGTTAAAATTTTAAATTAAAGAGTGAATTTATGTAAAGACTTCTTTCATAGTGAGACCCCTAAAAAACTTAACGGTCAAACACTCTATTTTAACTGTTAAATTACATTTTCAATGGTTATGTAAAAAAAACTTAAATTTAAATTTTTACGAGAGAAAAAAAAATGAATTGTGTTTCAAAGGGTGAAACGAACAAAAAGACTATTAGAAATGTCTGAATGAATAGTCGCACTCCCATATGAAATGTATCGTTTGGATTGCGAGAGGCTTCACTCTTTCTTTTCCTAGTTTTAGAATTTGGCGTATGATCGCTCGTGCCATCCAGTGAACAACAGCAAAACCTCTTTTTTTTTTTTTTTTTCAAGAGAGAGTCCAGATAAAAGCAGGTACTGATCTAAGTAAATACGCAACCAGAGGATGTATCTATTAAATAAGCAAAGCCACATTCATTCCATTCTTCGAGTCACTGATGCAATATATCTACAAAAAATAAGAGAACCACACGCATTTCTCTAGTCACTGATGCTAGTATATAACCACAGTGAATGTCATTGCATGAGGTGTTCTTTCGTGTGTCTCCTTTTTCGGTGCTGAATTAGACAAGAAAGCGATATATATACACATATACACAAACATCCAAGTATATACATGTCAAACATATTTTAATAAGCCAGAATATTAAACTTGATATAATACGCCCAGGAGGCCACATCATTAAGTCCTCTTTTTTTTTTTTTCCGTCCAAAACATCATCACATATCACTCAAAACAGAGAACATTAAACCTAAAACAAACCATTACAACCTAATAGCAAACCACATAGATGGATCAATATTGACAGTTCTTTCATCCTACGATAGAAAGCACGTCCTTTTCCTTGAAAATAAAAGCACACACCAGCGCTGAAGCCATCAGTAAACAGCAACATTGGCTTCACCCTGCTTGGAATCCAATGGCTCAGATTCAGCACCATTTTCTGAAAAAACCTTCACAATCTTCTCTACCGGAACCAAAGGCAGGTATGAGGAAACCTTGTACCCTTTTTCGGCAGTAGAAATCACGGTTTGGTTGTACTTCTCAGTATAGTAAGCTGCAGTGGGCACAACAACATCAGCCACCCTCGGGAACAGAGGGAGCTGGTTGAGTTTGCGCCAAGCAGTAACAGCGCACTTCTCAGCCTTAGGCTCGTACTTGGCATAGAGCTCCTTAGCTGCAGGCTCGTACTTTGTGAAGACTGTTTTAGCAATCCCTGAGGCAGTGTCCTTAACGCCAGCGCGCTGAACCTCGGATGCTAGAGATCTAGCCACCTCTGGGGCTTTCTGAGCTGCTGAGAAAGCTTGGGAAGAGACTTGCTTGAGGGTTGCAGGCACATGGCGGTCCAGCTCAGTCACAGATGCATCAACCTGCAGTCGTGATCACAAGGGTAAGAAGCAAATTACTTGAATGATAGACACAGGGCAAGAAATGCAACAAAAAGTTGCATCCAATCAAAATTTGCCAACCCTGAAGAAGTTAATTAAAATATTGCCTCGTTATGAGCGTAACGAGACTGGAAACAGACCAAATCAAATGCAACAAGATTACTTCCAATACTACTTTACATATGGCAATTACCATCTAATTACAACAGGAAATTGAACTGATCAGTATGCTTGACCCTGATCTCATAGAGTAAGATCCTTAGCGTGATTAAATATGTTAAATAAACGGGAATCGGGACAATGATAAACCACAGTCTAGGCCTTAAAAAGGAGGTTAATATTTGCATGCATTTCGAAACTAGGCCTTCCCAACGATCAAGGAAACAAATATCCAAACCCAGTTTAATAAAAAGCTATAGGCCTTCATAACACTCGTTATCTTTCGTTTTAAAGTTTTAAAGTTTTCCAAGAAAACGAATAAAAAATATGCAAATTCTTTGAAGTAACATCCTCTCTGCCCTTTCATTTACTTCTAAAAACAAAAATAAGACACAAAAACAACAAATTCCAAAAACTGAGTGTTGCCCACGAATGGATTTGCAGTTTGACAACTTTCTTTCAGGTCTAAACATCGGAATAACATAACCAATTGAAACCAGAACAAAAAATATACCCAAAAGCCTCAAAGAAACTGAAAGGTTACGAACCTTGCGGTCGATAAATTTCAAAAGCTCGATTGGGATGTCATAGACCTTCTCATAGACAGGTCCAACGACGGACTTGACAGTGCCCTCCACAGTCTCCACGCCTGGCTTCAGAGGGCCAGACTTCTCCTTGGCTTTACCATACAGGTTTGAGAGATAAACAATTGTGTGAATTACAGCTACTTGGATGAACTCAAGATACTTGAGCCTTTGCTCCTCTGCCTTATCCTTATCCTTTATCCAAATAAAAAAATTAAAAAAAAAAGTTAGGTTCTCTGAATCGAAATTGATTATACATACAAGCAAATTGATTCCATATTAGTTCAAGAGTGCATGTTCAATACAAAAAAAAAAAAAAAAA